GCATTGGGAACCTCACTCTTATCAGTTTGATGTTGAGAGGAAATAGCTGCAAATTCAATGTTTCCAATATTCAAAATCCCAGCCAAAATTCTGTACACCGAGTGCACCTCCTGAAAAGGACATCGAGAACCAGGTTTGAAGGTCATTGCCAATCAGAACAATGAAACACTAGCCCTGTGGTGGAAACTGCAGTTGTGCACCAAAGTCCATTCTCTCCCTTATCCTGTGCAAACAGACAGAGAAATTTCCCAACCTCCCTTGCAGTTAGGGTGGCCCTGTAATTAAATTCTTACCAATGGATGCTGTCGACCAGTGATGGACAGGACCTGCTCTGTGACCTGAACCACTTACCTTGGAATTGTTATGTAAGAGAGAACTGAACTTCTTTGTCCTTTAAGAGACTTTAGCCTTTTACCCTAACTAATACCAGCTCCCAAATTTAGGAATGGTCCTTTCTTCAAAGCCAGAGAGATGTTTCCTTAGCCTCTTCTGAACATTAAACCAGTTGCTGTTGAGTCAATTCCAATTCACGGCAACCCCATGTGTGTCAGAGTAGAACTGTGCTCCATAAGGTATTCAATGGCTGATTTTTCAGAGGTAGATCACCAGCTGTTTCTTCTGAGGTGCCACTGGGTGGACTCCAACCTCCAACCTTTTGGTTAGTAACCGAACATGTTAACTGTTCGCACCACCCACAGACTCCCTTTTGAAAGTAGCTTTTATGAAACAGCTGAAAGGACATCCATTGATGACTCCATTAATGAATATTTTGAAGTTCAACGATGTATATGGTTATGAATGAGGTCACGAAATATTTTGAAAGACTCACTGGAAATCATCTAAGTCCTATTTTTTATATTGAAAGTTGAATACATAAGTAGCATTCTTGATAGAAAAAATAAAGTACCTTTACTTATATAAGCATTTGCATTTTCTGCAGGTAAGATAATGAAATACACAGCCAAGAAATTTCTGTATTTTATATAGAGAGATAGAGAAAAATACTTCCATAAAAAATACTTAGGCAGGGAACTTGATTTAGTACTATGCATAGCAGCAAACTGATAAGAACTGTCATTAAGCCACTAATAAAGCATTGCCCTCAAATTGAGCCGTCCTGTAAACATCACTCGGTAAAGCCAAAAACACGGACAGTAACAGTGACATCTGCTGGATACCTGACAATGCTACACAGACAAATGAGAATTCAAAACTGGCTTCTGCAATGGATAAATATTGTCCTTCAAACTTCTAAATCAAAGCCAAGATGTCATGCTTCTGCCTTTAAGAATCACTGTTTTAGTCACACAACTTAAGAAAGGCTAAGGAGAAGACCTTCCAAATGGGTTTTTGGGACTTGCCTGGATTTAACATGACAGCACCACATTACCTTGATCAATACAGTGTGAGGTTGCTGAATGTACCGAGCGACTTCCCACAGAGGCAGATCCCAGAGGGTAAAACAGAGACTCTACAGCC